TATTTCCATGTTTAAAATATTAAGTAATAGAATATTAAAATTCATATAAAATGAAAAAATTTTTGATATTTTTTATTATACTTTTTATATATAAATATAATAAATCAGTATATACATTTTGTAGGGAATCTAATTATAATGATTAATATCTTATGTACATATTTCTCTTCATATTTTTTTTTAGTATATACTTTTAAATTTTTTAAACTGTTCAACAATGTGTAGATTGTCTGTATAATATCATATCTTATATCATATCTTAATCATTTTACAATTTTATTAAGTACTGTAAGTCATATAATTATATTTAAAAATTTTTAAATTTGTATTTTTTTTTAAGATTTAATATCAAATATTTCTATTTTAGGGTTACATCAACATATACTACACCTACTTTAGGTGTACCAAATGCTGTTACAGCAAGTACATATCCTCAAATGCTTGGTTTAAGTGAACAAGTACAAGCCCTGATGCCATCACCTACTTCTGTATCTACATTGTTGCATCCACAAAGGCATACACCATCCGTACATAATACATCTCATACAAAATATCCACCACCATTAATACCAGTTAATGGTAGTAATAACAGTACCAGGTATAAAATTATTCATTTTATTTTTTAAAATATATTTTTAATAAAAATTGATTTAATGTAAAAGAGATAAATAAATAATATTTTATTATTATATTAAAGTATTTATTTTTAGGGATTCAAGAGGTAGAAAACCACTAATTCCAATATCAGAGTCACATGTATCAACCTGTCAAGTTCAACCTTATCAAATTCAAAAAGCACTTGTAGAAGACAAAATGGTACCTTGTATTAATTTCAAACCATATATATATTCTGAATTATTGATGACACTTAATGACTTTGTCGCTCAGTATTTTCCTGCTTGTGACATTAATAGTTGCCGACAAGTCCTTACAGATGTTTTGCATATAGATTTGTATCAAGGAAATAGGTAAGAAAATGTTATTTTCTGCATATAGAATCTTTTCAGCCTTAAAAAGAATGTTATAAATATATTTTTTTTTATTTATTCTATAATATATATATTATTATATAATACTTTAAATAATATAAATGTTTTCTAAAATATTTCTTTTTAAAGGCTTCAAATGAAGATGTTAATGGAAGCAGGAAAATGTTCATCTTTAAATGAAGAACTACCACTAATACAAGTAAAAAATATAATGAAATATATGCCCCAATTGAAATATATGTTTAATAGAGGTGGTGAAATGGTGATGCCTGCACCTGCACATTCCTCCGAAGAACATCCTGCCAAAAAGCGTCAACGCACCAGCTAGGACTGGCTACAGCCTTACTGGCCTACTTATGATTATTATCATTCGGCATTTTGAAAAAGCCGATTACTTTGACTCATATGTAATAACTCAGCATTATTAAATGCTTGAGAAAATTGGATTAATCTGTTTTGACATCATGTGTCAGAAAGAATGCACATAACCGAAGATTACCTTTTATTACAAGGAATCTGTGACATACTGTGAGCTATTTCTTTCTCCAAAGTGTATCTATTGACAAGAATATGCTTGTAAATAAAACTGAGATGTATAAAACTAATGCACAGTTGGCAATTTAGATATGCTTTTATATATTAAGATTATTAACACTTTTCTTTAAGATTTCGTTTATAACTAGAAGTTGTTGAACGAAAAGCAAGCAAAAACCATAAATACTGTAATTATCAAGATCATTCCTCTCTTTTTTTTCTTCATTTTACTTTTCTACCTCTGCTATAGAGTATACTATTGTCTTATGTATACTATTTCTTTATAAATAAAATGAGTTTTAATCTTAATGTGATTCGGAGAAAGAAAGTGCTGCTGTGCGATAATTCATTAACAAAACCGAAATGCTACTATGGGTTGTTTAAAATTTACCTATAGAACATGATAAACGGATATCAAAATTTGGCATTTGTATTATATTTAAAGAGACGAAGGTAATGCTTCTTCAAGTTCCTAGCTATTACTAATATGTATCCTGATAATTGCTGAAAAATAATTTAAAACTGTTACTAATTCTCAACAATGGTTTAATATAAATTGTGACGTAAGTTCAGCAAAACTTACTAATGTAAAAATATTCTAAGTTTTGAATGTTGAAATCTCTATTTTCTAAAGTTCACTTGTCAAAAACACCGTAAACAGTGATGCAAGATTGAGATATTATCAGTGTGTAAATATCTAAGTCAATAAAAGAACTGCAATTTAGAATATTATTAAAATATATGACACGTATTAACAGTCAATGAAATACGTAATACCAGTGTTTATGAAGGCTTTATAATTGTTTCAAATGTGAGTACAATCATTCAAAAAATGTAATTGATTTTATTTTATTTTTAATAAAACCAACATTATTATTAGTAAAGTATTGTTAATTATATAGAAGATTATGTAAAAAAAAATATAAATTTAAATTAAACTATAAAAAGAAATTGTCTTATTTCTTTATACAAGCAGTTTTCATATTTATTATTTGTTAAAATATATTTCATAAAGTGAATATAAAATGTAACATAATTTAATTTATATAAAGAAGTGATATCAGCTTGCAAGTACTTAAAAAAAAAAAACAAAAAAAAAAAAATAGTTGGCAAAATTGACAAAGCACCTGAGATAGTCTTCCGTTTTAATAATATGAAAGAAAATAATTTATGTTTATTTGTAAATGATTTTTTATTTGTTTAAATAAATAAAAAGTAACACAATATTGTAATTAAGAAAAATAAATTCATGTGTATTCATATGTTAAGCGTATAAGTACGCTAATCTTAATTGATCCTGTTCTCGAAAAAAGAGGCTTAAATTAGTATTACTGACTGATTAATTTTCATATTCGCTATTACTATTACATGAAACAGAAAAAACTAAATATATATACGCAAAAATATGTATATGTAAAAAAATAATTCTAAGGATAAATTAATATTGACCATCCATCATGGATTTTCCATATAAAAAAAAGGCTTAGGCATCCTGTTACGGTGGAAATGGTATATTTTGTTATTTATTAATTATATTTAGTCATATCACAATTTCAAAGATTCTATTGCCATTAAAAAGACTATGTACCATAGACTGGTGTCTACTTTTTTCTAATATTAATGAAATAAAGAAAATAACACAAGAAATTCATACATAAAAAGTATTTAATTAAAAAAAATCTGTACAATAATAAATGTGAAGTAATAATACTATATTTATTATTTAGATTTTATAATTTGTCAGATGTTCATTTTTATATTTTCATAAAGAAATTTAGAAAAAAAAAAATACAAACATTTATATCATTTAAATTTTAATTTCAAGCACATGTGTATATAAGATATTGTAGATATTGTATTTAATATATTAAATAAAATGTCAATAATATTAATTGTATTATTTTATTTTTTGCGTTATATTACACATGTGTTATTGTAAATTATAGTATTATAATTTTTGTTTGTACAGATAATTGCAATTAAAAAATAAATAAAGCACTAATAAAAAAGTGTATTATATTATATAAATACAAATTGATTAATAAAAAAATACTTAAATTGGAAGAATTTCTTGAATTATTTCAATGAAGATTTTAATATATGTAGATTATTAATTACACAGTACTCCAAAAAAAAAAAATGTATAAAATATATCTATTACACTCTGAAATAGAAAAAAATGTATAGAAATTAGTGGACCCAGTCTAAAAATTAGAATTTAATTTTTAGTATATTAGATTAGAGCATTTATTTGATAACATGTTAATATACGTGTATAATATTTTATCACACTATCATCTGTACATATAAATCATAAGAATTAGATATACTAGACATTTCAAATAAATTCATGATATAATTAATAAGTGTTAATTATTTTACATTAAATAAATTAATTTGATTGAAAAGAAAATATGCTACTATTTAAAATATATCGATATTATAATATAATAGATTTATTCATACAAACAATAAAAAAGCATATAAATCAAACTATCTATTTTAAGTTTCTAGATCTAAATGTTAATTAGCGTGCGATGTGTTCTTAATTGTTTTTTAGTCCAAATTACAGTATTAATTTTAAAACTTACAATATAATATTACGCTCAAGTGTTAAATACTATTAAATTTTAAATATAAAAAAAAATTAATAAGTATTTTCTGTTTTTACAGTCTTTATATTATTTCAAACTTAAAATGTTGTAATTTAAGAGATAATGTAATATCAGATATATTCGAAAATAAAAAAAAGTTGGTTTATTAAGTTTGAAATTTTTAATATTAAGAAAAACAATTTTTTAATTATGGAATTTTCTTTTAAATGCCGCAACACGTTAAACGACACTCAGCTGTACCGGAAGAACGTCATAAGCATTTGAAAGATTCAGTGCTGACATCTATGACGAAAGCAAACGAAATTACACGAGATTGGCCGAAGTAGTCAGTTGCGGTCGCCATTTTGTCGGGTAGTCATCGGGTACGTCGTGTTTCTTTCGGGTTGCTGTACTTTTTGAAACAAGCATCGCCGAAAAATTTGGGGTCCAGCACTTTCGTTTGCTCCCCCAAATGGCTTGTTTGAACACCCTTAAGCAGGAGATTAAAACTCTTGAGTCCGTCTTCCCTAAGAGCCATGAGAGATTTCAGATAATGTCTGCGAGTGTGGACGAACTCAGCTGCAGATTCGTCGGTAAAAATGGGAAGAAATACGAAATACACGCCAATATTACAGTAAGTGTAATAAGCATGAATACAATTTAAAATAGTAAATTGATACAGAACTATCGACAGTATTTTTCTGTTTATATGGAACCATATTAAATTTCGTTGCTGTCTGCGACCGGACAAAGAAACAATAACACTCATGTTGTTATTTGGGGCTTTTGACAAGAGCCATGCCCGGGAGCACGTATACCGTGTCCTTTTTATCCCTATTTCCTATCTATTTTTTCTTGTTGCCCTGTACATTTTGTTGTAGTTACGATCGATTCTTTCTCGCCTCAATCAGTCAGTTTCCGTGGAGATTTTCAGACGAATTAATATTGCGGTAGAGGTCAATGTATGTCACAAATAGAGGGTAAGCCCCTCATAATGGTATCTATTCTTTATTCGTTTATATTTGCAAAAAAAAATCTTACAAATTTACAATTACTATTGTTGAGACAATTATATCACAATTGCATGAAATCAAACTACTTACTAATTTAATGTATACTAGATAATATTTATAGATAAATTAGATAACAATGAGCATATCCATTTGCGTTCTTCTTACCGTTGCCATTGTCGCTTGCTTCATTACGAAATTATCTTCAATTTTTTATTAAATATCTTGAAATTTTAATATTTAAATGCTAAAAATAAATAATTGTTTTATTTTATATTGCATAGTATTGTTTAGAATTAAATTTATTAATTTATATTGAATAATTTCAGAAAATTCAAACTAAAAGTTTATTAAATTGTGTATCCAATAAGTCATCAAGCGTAATCACGTGTATTTAAAATATTTGCATTCTATGTTTCTTTTATTAGAAATATTATTATGAAGAAATATTATTATAAGTTGAAATTATTATGTTTCTCTTAATAATATTTCTCTTAATAGAAATTAATTGTACTATTTTAATTATATTTTAGGTTTGATAAAAGATATTTAAATTTATTTTTCTTTTTATGTCAAGACAGAAGTTAAACATAAAAATTTAATTCAAAAGTATTAATGTGAAAAATGTTATTATTTCTATCTTATTTATTTATTGATTAAAAAATTAATAATTTTTATCTATTTTTACCTCATAACGCAAATACGGTTTAATACTGCTAATTAATTTACGATTCCTGTTATACATATGTATGGTCGTAGCACTGACGCTGAGCTAACTGCAATTGCCGATAAATCCATATTTAAATATCGTATATGTGTTCATGATAAATATTCACTATATAATGATCATTTAATGTAATTTTTTATTATTCGAATTATTATAGAATATATCCATTTAATTTTAAAATAACTATTTTATAATTTAAGAATTTTCGTATATTTTTTTGAACTCAAAAAATTTTTTCTTTTTTAACTTTTTAAATTTTTATTATTCTTTTTCTATTATATAGGTTAATTATATATTATACATTGGATAAAACAAACTTCCAATTTTTATTAATAATTCTTAATTTTTTAAATTATCGTAGATATATTTTTTTTCTATTTATATTTAAAAATAGATAATTATCTTTTTTATCATTTAATTTTATATGTGAAATCTTTATTATATTTATAGATTTATATTTA